AGTTAAATCTGTTCATACCTTTTATGTTTTAGGAGTTATTATTTTTATTAATTAACCCTCGGAAATGGTTTAAAAATGTTCAAAAATAAAATGTTTAAGACATACAGTATTTCCCAGACCGATTAATTTTTTGAATGCAATAATCTTATCCTCGATTAGTGATTCTCAGTTGCTAGAATTGTTTGGCCCCGGGATTAGTCTATCATCACCTTTTCAACACAGTCAGTTTAAATTTGATGTTTTTTGAAGTGAACCTTCTTTACTGAGGATATGACAAAAATATTTAGTCACGTGACTGACTGATCAGAATGAAACGACTGAACGACACTCTAATAAGGCGCATGCGCGTCGTATATCTACTACTCAACGGTCAGTATACCACCCCATTACTTTTCTTTTCTAAGCTCAACTTAGTGGGTATTGGAACTAGAGACCCCAGACCCAGGGGATCTGAGTTTTTATGGCCGCAGAGTAATTTACCCCATTTGGGAACAAAAGCCCCAACCCCCCCTCATTTTGAGTTGGCCATAACTCAGTGGGATTTCAATTTAATGACCCCGGACCAACTGGGAACCGTTCCGGAGATGCAGGACTACAGGTTTCCGCTTTAGTGAACGGGCACCCCTCCCCCTTTTTCGCTTTTCGTTTTTTTGCTGCATTTCAGTTCAGGAGGTCACTAGGACCCACCCCGCCGCTGGGTTTAGAATTTTCCGCTCCCTTGATGGAGGAAATGTCCAACCACTAATATATATATATATTAAACGGACCTAAGACGACAGAAAATTGTGGGCGTGGCTTCGATATTTGTTAGAAATATACATTATATGATAACAACTAATATTGATGTATCAGATGGTTAATGTTATAAACTATTACAGATGTGTCAGTCTATTTACTAAAACATTTATTTTATATAAACTTAAGTTTTTTACTGCATAACAGAATGATATTTCGTCATTATTATTTTTAATATTATTAATTATTACTGATGTGTCAGTCTATTTATTAAAACATTTATTTTATACAAACTTAAGTTTTTCACTGTATAACAGAATGATATTTCATCTAAATTATATTTGATATATTTTTTTTATAAATCGATTAATTATAGCAATCGCACGAGATTCCAGTACAAGAGAGTCACTACCTAAAATAGAAGGCAATTCGAGTGAATAATATTTTTGAAATCTGGAGGCAATTCGTGAGCGCCCCCGGAAACTTAGGCCATTGGGTGGTTTTTAACTGTGGGGGAGGGTACTGTAGGTTTAAACACGTGTGTTTGTCAGTTTGGCAGAATTTTCTAGTGAGCACCCGTATAGGTATCTGCCATGCCCGGGTAGTGGATGGGCGGCCTCTCTCTCCAGACACGGTGACTGCCCAAAGAGAAGTGCCACCCGTGGTCGGGTTTCGAACCGGCGCCTTAGTCCCCTCGGCCACTCCGTCCCCCAGGAGTTGTTTAAAAAAGCTAGATAGGTATGTTAAAATAGTAATTTTCATTTAAATTTAAATTTTTGTGTGTTATTATTATTATTGTTTAATCATAAGTGTTATGTAAAATATTTAATGCATGTATTTTATTTTGTAGTGTTATAATGTAATAATAAAAAATTATTATTATTAAAAATTATCACACGCTACTTGATTTAGTACCTTGAAGGCTTATTATGTATGTGATTATTATTTGTTCTATGTATATTTTTTTCAGATATTATTAATCTTAATATTTTTTCTTCGGATATTATTTCCTATAGGTTCTATCTGAGTATACCAATAATATAAATTTGAATCTCAGCTACCTGCAATTAAGCTTCTCGCTAAGTATCCATTTTGAATTTCACTTTGCAATAACAACGCAAAGTAGAACATCGCCGACGAAAATATAGCGCTAAATTAATGATAATTATAAAGTAGTAATAGTAAAATAAAATAATTGTATGTAAAAAAAAATACCAATGTAAGTAGTATCGATATACGAGTACTTTAAATCTAAAGACAGGAAAATTTTTATTCTCAACAGTAATAATAAAAGGTGATATAAAGCAGTCCTATACTCCTATTGGAGTAATATTTTCTGTGGGATGGAAAGAGGAGGGAATAAAAAGTATTTAGCAACGGAACGATTAAAATATTAATACCTTTTTTATTTGATATAAAAAATAAATATATTTATATATTACTGTTATTGTGTGAAGAACCTTGTACCTATTATATTTTCAAGCTTTTTGACCCAACGAATAAAATATTATTTAAAAGTAAAGAAAATAATAAAATAAATATTTAGTGTACCTAAATTTCAAGTATCTACGGTTATTCGCTTTTGTATTATAACTTCAGATGCTTATAAAAATTGATTGTGGATTTTTTGTACTTTCCACTAACAACAGTCAAAACTTTATGATTAAACTTGTATTAAATTTTAAAGTTTTTGAAAACGTTATGTGTACAGAAAAATACTATTATAAACATTCAGTGAAAATTCGTATAATAGAATTACGGTAATTTTTTAGAGTCAAGCCAAAAAATTGATGTAGTCAAAAACTATTTTGCGTAAAAATTCCCTTTTTCCTTTTTTTGTTCGGTTTCCCAGCGCTTATAAAAGTTACACGGAATTCAAAATTTACCTACGAATGCTCCTATAGATTTCACGGTCTTCCCACCCGAAAAGATACTGGAGTGCAAATCGAAGCATTATTTTGAATCCTTTCCGTGTACACAGACGCAAAAAGAAAAACACCGCTCATCACTGTAAAATATACCTCAATCGCTCAGCTCAGAATTTATGAGAAGTAAATAGAATCTAATCGCTCAGAAAGTACTTAGAGCCCCCTGGTATATTTCCCATCCCACTTAAATACTCCAGCTTGATGTTACTATTCTTATTTACTCATCAATTATTCCCTCACACTATTTAACTATTGATTTACGATATTAGATTCTGAGTGGAACGATGAATGTATTGATTTTACAATGATGTGTGTTTTTTTATTTTTATTTTTTTTTTGTGTCTGTCATCACCTTTTATGACAGTAAAAGTGCTTGGATTTTCTTCAACAGTAGCTTTTCTGATAGGAAAGTGAATCTAGTTGGTACTTCGGGGAGTCAAAAGTAAAAATTTCCCAGTAGTTCTACAAAGCGACGTGAAAAACAAAAGAAAAATTAAGGAAAAACTGAAATTTTTAAGCAAAATCTGTTTTCGAGAAAATCGATTTTGGTTTTTGGTGTAACTCTAAAACAAATGACCGTAGATATATGAAATGATTACTGACTGTTTATATTAGCATTTTCTATATACCATGCCATAATTAAAATATTTTGACTTATTTTGAGCTGTTTAGGGACATTTTCAGTTTCCAATTTTTTTAGTATTTTATTCTATAAATATGAATGAAATTTTATTGGTTGGTTAAAAAAGCTTGAAAATTTGATAGAGGGCTTCTAATATATTTTTCCAAAGGCAGATGAAAAATATTAAAAATCCCTAGTCAAAGTTTTTTTTATAAGCATTTTAAGTCCAAAAATTGACAAAATATTGAAAAATCACGAAAATTAGCAAATTATTTTGAGTTAAGAATTCGTAAAATATTTTTTTTTAAATCTAAGATTTTAAAATGTGATACAAGATTCCTAATAAGATTATCTACCTTTATAAAAATAAAAAAATGTCTTTAAAAAGTCAAATTATTTTATGAGCGTTTGAAATTCAAATTTTTACAACATTGGATGTTCACTTGATTTCTCGTTTAGCGATTTCCTTATTTTATTGTAATTCAGAAACGAATGACTGTAGATAAATGAAAATTTCACTGAAAATTTATATTAGCATTTCCGTGTATAACCTTAAAATTTTGAAAATATTTTGACTCTTTTTGAGCTGTTTAGGGACATTTTAAGTTTTAAATTTTTTTAGTTTTTTTTTCTAAAAATATCAATTAAGTTTTATCTGTTGGCCCAAAAAGTGTAAAAATTTAATACAAGTCTTTTGGTATACGTATTGTAACGTATCGTTACAATATCAGTTGAAAAATATTAAAAATACATAGGCACAAATTTTTCTTATAAGCATTTAAAGATCGAATTTTGACAACATTTATGAAATTTAAAATTGAATAATTATTTTGTAGTTAAAAATGTATAAGATATTCAACTTTTATATCTAAGGATTGAAAATTTAAAACAAAATTCCACGTAAGTATTTAATTCTGTTACCAAAAAATCTAAAAAATACATAAGCCCTGTTTATTTTTAGTCATTTTAAGTTCAAATTTGGACGAAATTACATAATAAAAAACCTAGAATAACTATTTTACTTATTTTGTTGTGATTGTATAATATTATTCGTAGGTACTTGAAACTTCTAAAGTAAACTACTATAATCTTGACAGTATGTCAGTGTCACGGTTTGTTATTGATGTATAACGCGTTATAAGTACCTAATGGATATTGTGATATGATTAATTTGGAATTTATTATAGGTACCTATTATGGGTCAATTTTTTTAATACCATAGATAAGTATATAATATGCCTTATACCTAGACTGACATACCGTCTCTGCTCATAATCGTTTTTCTTATACATTAATATTATATCATTAAATTCAAATTTAATACCATCCATTATACAGTGACCTACTTGTAACCTACTGTACAGCAGAGCACCTTTTTTTTTATTAATGATTTAAGTTTCTTTAACTATAATTGTTAATTGTAAATTACCATGATATTATATCGGATGCTGTGTTTTCAGTGAGATTTAAATTTTGGAATTCATGTATCTGAAAACACATAAATATTATACGTATACACAATATGAAATTAATTTTTATACATTTATAAATAGCAACCTTAAGTGGGATTTCGGCGTATTTTATTGACAGATTGTACTGACTGTAAATGTCAATCAGATGTAGTTTATGGGCTTTTAATATATTTTGTTTGAGATGCTTTCCAAATTCAAATCCTATGGAAAAAGTAATATTTGGATTTGATTATATATATAATTTTATCTTAGCGACAATGATATTTGTTTAGAACAGCCTTTAGCCTTTAGGTATAAGTTACTTGACATGTCTATTTCAATATTTATATTAGATTTTAATAGTTCATCACGTTTATTCGACGAGCCTTGTGTTATACTGTTAATTATTGCTATTGTGTAGTTCTTTGGCACTTTCATAAGTCCTAGTGTTGATTCTTTTGTCATGGAATTTTTACCCAAATATTCAGAACCATAATAATTCTGTTATAATACATGATTTTAAAAGACATATTTTGATGAAATATTTTTTTTTTTACTCACTACTTTAACATTGTTTTGGTTCAAAACATATAAGAAGTGACACGAAAAGTAAGAACATTTTTCAATATGTTTACATGGGTTATAAACGCAATCAGTTTCTTGGTTATATACTGCAATAGGTATAGATTTGGGGTATTTTCCATAATAGATGCAATGTAAGTATACTTGAAGTATAGGCATCACGCATAGCAATATAAATATCCTAAATTTGATATCCACGTATTTTTATAATATTGAGATAAATTATTAATTATTAGTTATCAGTCAATCATTAGTAATTATTGACGAGACTAAAAAATATGTTTAGAGATTAAAAAATTGTATTGTATACAATATATTTCATGACTACAAAAAAAACTTAAAAATAGCTGCTCGGTCAGTGTTATAAACACACAATAATGGACGATCTTCTCTCTTTATTTTACTAGGCGCGGCATAGTGATATATTATTATAAGTTATAACACTTATACTCTAGCTATAGTCTGAAATCGGCAATATTACAACTCATTCTAATAACGATTCCGAGTATACATTTTTGGTTATTGCACATTTATTTGATACGATGATATTATATTATATACTATCCATACGAAACCAAAGTCATAAATATAGGTACATAGATATATATAAGTTAAAATATGAAATTGTGTAGGTACTTGAAATAAACAATAATATATAGATAGCTATACTTATGCGGCTATGTCTGTATAGATTGGGGGTCACAAAATGACGATCCATGAACGAACTTTATCTGTCTTACAGACAAGAAAGTAATCTTTTTAATTATTAATTTGTTTTTATTTTTATTAATAATTACCCAGCAGAAGCATAGGCAATTGAGTAAAGGTTATTTTAAAGTTGATTTTTTACTGTGATTGGAGCCCGGGGAGAGTACGGTTGGTCTGAACACGTGTACGTGTTGCAAGGATTTGGCACTAAAACCCGGATGGTCAGTGGTCACCCATCCGGGAAATAGTGACACCGGCTGTTACTCAGAACACGTTTTGTAACCGAGGACAACCATCAGGCCACTTAAATGTTTTTGTTGATGGTTTAAATGAGTTTCTATAAACTGATTATATTTATTGATTTTGCATTTACTTTTTTTGGAATAATGTGTACTTAGATCATTAAATTGTGATGGCACCAGAAAACTTCCGGGATTTCTAAAGAGGTACTCCAAAAACATAAAAATTGGTGATCCTTGGTATCGAATATAAATGCATGTACCTATAATATACAGGATGTAACAGAAATACCTACCAAATGGAAAATGAAAAATTTGTACCAATACGCATGAAAAAATATTATATGAAAAGTAAAAATTAATACAATATAATATATCCTACTATATGAGGGTGATGGGCACTTGTCAGTCATCTCGCTACGATGACTTCTTTGTTAGATATTGGTGTACTGGCTCATTACGAATACATTTGACTAAAAATTAAATAAATTAAAGTTGTTGATTTATATTTTATAGAAACAATACCTACCTACATTGGTATTGAGGGGCGCCATTTCAGTTTTAAAATAGGGTTGCCAAATTTTTTACCAGTTCACATTTTTCTACCACCGGGTCAAAGTTATAACAATGAAAATTGAAATATAGCCATGTTGGAGTTATTTCTAATATTACTATTAGGGATGAAAAATAACTAATATTTTAAGTGATAACACTGATAAAAGTATAATAGGTATCAGTATTCATTAATATACATTTTCTTTCTATATCTTTAATATCTATGTATATCTATGTATATCCCTTTATTTATAAAATATGTTTATCTCATATTAATTATTTCAATTAATTCAATTTAACTGATACATCGGGCTTCGGCGCCAGCATGAAATTAAGGCAGGCCAATATATGATACGGCGAAAAATAGGGCCACCAATGTATAGGTACCCCGTGATACCCCAAATTGTGTCCCTGTGGTATAGTCCCTTCTCTTAAAAATGTATTATTTTAAATATCTTTAACAATATTGTCTAATACGTTTGTTCATAGCTATCTCAAAATTATTGTATGATTAACTCACAAACACTGTACTAATGTAGAATGCAATTTATGGCGAATCTCAAATCTATGCATATGCTACTCGTGATATACTACCAAAATTCATATTTTTTGTTAAACAAATATACCTCCTTAATTGCTCTACTAGCTGATGGCCTAAATGTAGTTACCACTTGTTCTGTCTACTGATTGTTTGTTGATTATTTTTTTATTATAGAAGATGACTGTGTAAACAAATATTTTGAGAGGCATAAGTCATGTACTACGAATTTGAGGACTTCCTAATTTTTACCTACAATTACGTACCAAATATTTGAAGTTAAAAACTTCATATTTTGAATAATAATGGTTTTGAACTTCCAAATATTTGATCTTGGATTGATTTTCTGACAAATGCTTAGCTAAAAAATAAATTATTATAGTCATTAGATGCACACATGCACATGTTTAAGATTATGATAATGCATTTCAGAATTGAGTTTTATTTAAACTATATAAAAAAAAAAATAAACATTTATTAATTTCAAGTTAAAATCAAGTCAATTCATTCTAGTCGAGATAAATATTAATAAATTAGTATATATTAATTCTTATTATTTAAAATCTAGTAACTTATGTAGTAATTATATTATATATTTTTAATTATTTAAGTAATAAACATAAATATTATATAATGTGAATAGCTAATTTTTTTTTTAATAACTTGTTTTTGAATTGATCGTATAAATGCACGTTTTATTTATTGAAACAAAAACACAATGTTGATAGTTACAGTAATTTTTAACGAAAACTTATAATACCTAATAAGTTATACTATGCATGATGCATCCTTTGCATATGGATAAATGCTGAATTATTATTATCTAGGTGTTATTATTCAGGTCTAAAAACAAAAACTCTTGTTACTTTTCATATAGGAAAATCGGGAGCACACTAGTTCCCTCCCGAAGTCAGAAAGATCAATCATTTTTATACGAATTGCCTCCCGACTATATACTAGTTGCCTCCCGACGGACGTACCCAAAATTTTATCGTAAACGAAAAGGGTCTAAGTACTGGTAACCTTCTAATAGCCGGGTAATAAATATACAAGTGGTTCTAAACATTTTCAAACATATCATGTATGATGTATCAAAATAAGTTTGTAATTTCAAAGTCATAATTTATGACTTTTGTTATGTTTGATATTTAATACGATTATATTTAACGACTAAACATTAAGATAATATACTATTTTGTGTAATGATAAGATATAATGTAAACCTGACCTGAGTCAGACTATAGTACATAATATACGTTATCGAGTATCGTTTAGTATATTTCCAACACTCGTTCTCGTTGTACGATATTATTATTTTTAAGCAATTTTAAATTGTTACATTAGATTTTAGAATGGATCGATGTGAAGTGCAAAACATGATTAGTGAAAAGGGAAAATGTGTTCAAATAATTAAAGATTTTAAATTTAATTTTCAAAAGAAGTTAGCCTTCGACAAACAACGGTGGAACTGTACAACAAAAATATGTAAAGCATTTTCAAAAGTAGATGAAAATGACGAAGTAATATTTAACGAAAGTAAGTTGAACCATAATAATCATGTACCATTATCTGAACAAGTATATATCAGAAGATTCAATGTTTCCATCCCACATATGTGGGCAGAAAATAGTTCAAGCATTCAGCGCACAACCAATGCATGCGAATCTTTCCATAGCAAATTTAATAGCTATTTTGAGTCTCCGGATCCTAATATATATAAATTCATCGAAGTTTTAAAACTAATTCAAACTGAGACTGTAATTTTAATACAAAGTGTTCTAATAAGCCTAAACTACATGGTCGATTACAAAATAGAAACAAATAATTTTCATTGATACTCAAATAAAAAAGCTGAATGAAAAAAAAATATCAAATTTTGAGTACTTACCTACAATATTGGCTAAAAAATATACCTAAGCCTAACCAATGTTATAAATAGTTTTTTGTATTTTACCTATTTTGTTTGACTTATTGACTACCTAATTGATTTATCATTTTTATAATTGGTAATTTGTATATAAATGTCGTATATTATACCTAAGACTGATGATTTAACTGAACTATATATTTTTAAGAACCTATAATGACTTAGTATAAAACAATTTATAATGTATACATATAATATAATATAAAATTATCAATTAATATTATTTATTTATCAATTTTCCCGTTAAATGTACAAATTCTATATGACTCAAACGTTGTTCAATTCGTTATTTAGTTATTTAACATTCGGTGTATGGTGTTAACGAATGACGGTAACGAATAATAATTATTATAATAGCTTTAAAACCCATGGCAACCATTTATAAACAAAAATATCCACCGTAAATCTCAACATTCCCGTTTGAGCACCTCCCCGAAATAGGCCTACCGGGTCCGATTATGAATCTAAACCATTCAAGGGCGCACTCAAGCACACACAAAAAATTTCATCAAAATCGGTGAAGCCGTTTAGGAGGAGTTCGCTTACAAACACTTTCAATTATTATTATTATTTATATTATATTTATATTTATATTTTTATCTGCTAGAGGGCGCCACCGGTGCAACTCAGTTTTTGTCTCTAAATCTCTAACTCACATGAGTTAGGTCCATAATTTATGCTATAAACCCGCTCCCCGCTATTCTCTATCATTTAAAAAAAATTTGAGCAAAATCGGCCCAGCCGTTCTCAACTGATGCAATTTCGAATTTTTTGTCTCCATTTTTATGTATATAGAAGAATTGATTTTGTACCTATACATAATATATTTACCTAAGTCTCATATTTTCAATAAAAATAATGAAACATAAAATATTTGTTAATTATGTTAATTTTATAAATTCATCTATTTATCTGATTTTTTTAGTGAAGCTTATGAACCACTACTTGATTCTGTACGGGAGGCAACTAATGTGAAAATTCTTGGGAGGCAACTCGTATATAATTATGAACTTCCTGGTCATAGGGGGTAAACTAGTGTATAATAACCTTTTTCTTTACGATAAGGATGGGAGGCAATTCGTATATTTTGGGAAGCAACTAGTATGCACCGGGAAAATCATAATTTGGGCGTAGTTAAGGATTAGTATATTAAATAATGATATAAACCTATGTAGGTACCTAGTACCTAGTACCTACTATGTATAGTGTCAGTCTACTCAGTCTATTGTGTAACTGTGTATTCCCACAGGGCACAGGCAACATTTTAGAACACGTAGTTCTATTGAAATATTGAATGATACATTATTACATTAAATATTTGTATATCTAATTTAAAGTAGGCAAGTAAAGTATAAATGGTTTATTTTTAAAATGTATTATTTATTAGGTAGTTTGAATAATTATAATATTGAAGTAATAAGGCTTTCAAGTTACTTTTTATTATTTTAGATTCGATTATGTCCATTACTGTTATGGAAATAACTCATCAGATTTCAGGTGATTAAAAAATATTATTATAGTTTTGTTTTTATATAACATAAAATGTCACGACCAGTGATGTAAAAATACGGTATTTTATTTTTCAATTGTATAATGCGTATATTATACATGTATTATACGTGTATAATACAGTATTTTTCAAAAATCGTATGAAGTTTAGATAATTGTTAAATATGTAGCTACCAGAAGAAGGGACTAGGTTATTCTTGTCCGCTTTCGAGTAGGCCACACCCTTATGACACACGGATACCTTATGGCCAAAGAAGACCCTCCCTCATGCACTACTTGCGGAACAATAATTACGGTCAAGCACATCCTCCTCGAATGTCGCCAATTCCACGAAATGCGCATCCAACAGGAACTACCGGAAACACTATACAAGATACTTTCACCCACTCCCGAGACGTCCAAGACAATAATATGAAATTCATAAATGAAACTGAACTTCGTCATCTTATTTAAAATGTATAAATATAGTAGTAATAAGTAATTATGTAATTTAACAAATGTAACGTAGGCTAATAACCTTGTAGTTGATGCCTTTAAAAATGATTAAAAAAAAAAAATAAAAAAATATCTACCAGAGTGTAATAAGAATGTAAGATCAATAATATTTCAGTTTATTGATTAATAATGAATTATGAAGCATTTTGATTATTAAATTATGTAATGGCAGTCTGGTAATAAATTAATAATTACCTAATAGAAAATATATGAAAATGTATTGGTTCTAAGTTTTGAATATTAGGTTTTTATATTTGCAGTAATTTTAATTAGTACCTATGTAATTATTTAATTAGTAGGTAAGTGTTTACTTTTTTGAATCAATTCGTAAATGATTTGCCAAACGAATTGCTTTATGCCTATAAGCCTCTTTATACAAATAAGCATTTTCGCTTTTCAATATTTCCAACATAATACTTTGTAAAATATTTGTCAACAATAGCTTATTGCTTTGAAGGTCGACCCATAGTAAAAATAAATAGTAACTAACGCTTAGTAACTTAATTATTTAACTTGTATGGCTGTAGGTAGTTAAATAGAATTATTAGAACTTAGTAGAATATCATACTACGGTCTAGTGTCCACGATTATGATTTATCACTTATCAGTCTAGTGTTAGGAAAAGACAACCAAAAAATCATCTAGATAAGATAACAGATAATTCATTCAACACTGCTTATGACTAATCAGCGGGGCTCGGAAGTTCTAGCAAATGAATATTTTTCTTGGTTCGTCCTAGAACATCCAAAGTAAGATACAAATATGTATCACACTTCTCTGAAGTCATGTAAATTTTATTTTGTTATTTTTTTGAATATTTACTGTTCTTACTGCTATTTTGCTAATTTAGGGTTTATAGCGTAATTTTTGGGTATATTTTCATGATACACATAATATATACCCACATATTATACAAAATATAGGATATTATCACATGACACATTATGATGAAAATAATGATTAACTTGGTTAGGAAATAAATAGACCTTATAAGTACACTTTTACAAACATATTTAAGTAATTTAATATATTTGTTAATCAGGTTTATAATTTAACTAGTTCAGACAGTCCCTGATGTCTATGGGCCCAACAATTTTATAAAATTGTAAAATTACATTTAATTTTTTTCTAATAAATTTTAATTTTTTCAAGTTAAATGCATATTTTGGAGTTTTTAAGTGCATATTTAAGAGCTAAAAAGTAAAGTTTTTAGTGCTACAACTTCCGATCCCTGCTTATCAGTTATCAGTAAGATATCAGACTACTATTTACAATTAATGTTTACGACTAGAATCATAGAACTTAGGTTAATAGATCTATGACTATAGAATAGTTCTTTGGTGTTGATCTGTATATAATATGATATTGACCACCACCTACCAATAACCAAGTAACTTGTGTGGCCGTGCTCCGTTGTTGTATTACTGTTATCAGTTGAAACATTAAGTATTGCATATATTATTTTCTCTTTATTATTGATCTAATATTTATCACAGATTTTTTTTTTTATATCATTTGTATTTTATTTTTTTATACATGACGTATAATATGCTTGTATAATACAATATTATACAATTTACATCACTGGTCACGACTATAAATAAAGCTATATGCATTCAGCACATATTAAGTTATCTGTAATTATTGTCATTCAGTCATTATTGCACTAAACAATCTTTGTACAACTGTTTTTGTTCATATCAGTTGTAAATAAGTCTGTTAATATTTGTATAAGTAAATGACGCAATCGTTTAAAAAGTTTGGTTGATAATATGGTTGAAATGTTTCTACTTTAAGCAACTCTTAACTTCGTCACACATTTTTTAGTTAAAACTTAAAAGTAAAACAATAAATAATTGTAATGCTATCAGTACCTATCACATATATATTGTATGCTAGTAAAGTTTACCTTGGCTATAGTAACAAGGTTATTCTATATAAAATTCATATATTTATGAAAAGTAACAGCATTACCTTTTTATTTCGCGGTGTCTCAGACTGATTTGAATTGATCCCAGAGTTATTCTAAATATAAATAAAAATGAATCAATTAATATTCTAATTTAAGTTTTTCAATGCATAATACATAATACCTACATTAAAATATAATTTGTATATTATGTAATATTAAAATAACATTATCATTAGGGTCTGGAAGTCATTAAAAATTACTAAAATAAGCGTAGGGACTTATATCCTTTAAAATAACGATTATAAGCCACTAATTTTTTCAAATTTAAACTTATCATTATTTATTTTATGTAATCTTGGTACAATTCTATTACGCTTAAGAAAACTATTGTGAAAAATGAATAAATCATTATTATAAGGTACCAAATGATAAAATGTTCAATCAGTAAATGATATAACTTTCAAATAAAACAATATGATGACTAACAAAAAAAAAAAAAACACAAATCACTATGGTTCATTTTTTTAACATTTTTTATCTTCACTCAGGAACTATTATTAATTGTAAAAAAAAAAAATACAATTTACAAGGTTGTCAAGGTTCAGTAAAGCATATTATAATTTTATGATGAAAATCGAAATACTATTTTAACTAATAAATAATAATTAATTATATATAATTAGTAATTTCTTATTTACAATTTCTGAATATAAAAATAGGTAGGTATTTTGAACTATAAAATGGAAAAATATGAAAAATTTTAGTTAAGTCTACGACAGAAAAAACATGTTAACGCATACATTTCTGGACCCTAATGATAATATACAATATAGAAACGACAGTATGTTTAAGTAGGTAATATAATATGTTGTGTAAATCAAAATTATTAAACAATACACTGTTATAAAGATCTTCTACGATTAAATCTATAGACTTATTTGGATTTTTTCGATGCAATTCCTCTACTTCTCTTTCAAATACAATTTTTCCATTTTTCAGATACGCTATCTAAAATATAATACACAACTACCTATAACGTCGATGTTATAAAATAACTGCATTTTAATCGTTTATTAAATGTTATTAATTTGAACCTTAGTTGCTAAAAATGCTTCCTCGATATTATTGGTGGCTACAACTACTGTTGGTTTCCATGTAGTAATCATGTGATACAAGTATCTCCAAATTCTACAATGAGAATAAATTGTTATGTTAAGTTATAATTTTTTAAAGAATTAAGTATAGGTACTGATTTTTTTTTAAAACGTCAAGTCCAATAGTAGGCTCGTCTAACACCACTAATCGAGGTCTGTGGAATACTGCTATTATAAATGATATCATTCTTTTTTCACTGAAACTAAATACTTTGCAATATAATTAAACCATGTCATATAATAATATAAACTGTTAGCATTAATTTAATACTAGTTTGTACATACCTTAATTTTTGAATAGTGGAATTAATTGGTGGCAGGGTAAAAATGTCTTTGTAATAGCTTATTCTCCACAGAATAAATTTGTAATTAATATTATATAAGTTACCAAAATATGCAAACAATTCTAGAACCGTCATGGTTTTATACAAACAAAATTCCTAGAAAAAAAAATCCATAAGTAATTTGTGTATTTTATCAATGGATTCTTCAATCGTAAAAACAAAATTAAATTAAAAATACAATTGTATTATTTGACATAGGTACATATAAAATTGTGTATTTATGTATCATAATTATTATCTTCTTTCTGCTGTGAACTATAATAAGTATTGAGTAGTTATAATACATTAATACTATAATAGGTACCTACATTATAGTACCTGAGGCATATAACCAGTGTATTTAGTTAAGGTTTTACTGCTTTTTGTTCTTGGTTTACCACCAAGAACCCATATATGACCTTTGTCTATTTTATCTCCACCAACTAAACAAGAAAGAAGCATAGATTTACCGCTGTTAATTTCACCAAGTATAGCACATCTTAAAAAAACAATTAACAAAAAATTATTATAAATTAAATTAAATATTAATTATCCATTTGGAAATTTAATAGGAAAAAATCAAATTAAGATGGTTTATAAAATGTCAAATGAAACACAATATGAGAAACATCAGAAAGTGCAATTACATTTTACCACTATGTGCAGTTAAATTCACTCCATTGAAAATATTTAAATCATTATGCCTTTTAAACACATTATTCAGTACTATAGAACATTTCGAAGGACTTTGAGATAAATATATTCTTGGTTTGAAACGACTTTCATGTGCCATTGTATAGTTGATTGTATAGACCAGCTGAAATAAAATATTATACATTTCATATTATAGTTATTATGGGTATATCATAAATGATTATTACAAACGGGTTTTTTTATCCAATCCCAACCCGCAGATAACTGATGCGTAAAATGTAATAAAATGATACAGCGGAATTATGTCAATTTAATACCATGACATAAGATTTATCAAATAATTAAACGAGAGTTAATTTTTAGATTACTATAGATTTTTTAGAATATCCCTCATAATATATATGTATAAACTCTTGAAGGCTCAGAGTACTTATCATAAACATGAAAATATGAAATAGTGTACATCAATAGAAGTATAGAGTAGGTAGTTTACATGGTAGGCGCATACATGGAAAATAAATCAGTAGGTGTGGATAAAAAATATAACTAATATAAATCACAAATGAAAAGTTATAAATTATAATATACTAGCTATGCCTAAGAAAAAATGTTTTTGTAAAACATTTCCGTGGGGGGGAAGTTGAATCTCCTATTGAAATAATTATTTTACAGATTATGAATTATAGATTATTATTGACTAAAATATGGTAAAAAAATATTTAGTTATATTTTGTTATAGTTTTATAGTCTATAGCAAAATATATTATTACATCTTAACATAGTATAAAAAAAGTCTCTTTTTCTGTCTGTGTTATGCTTAGATCTTTAAAACTACTCAACGGATTTTGATGAGGTTTTTTTTAATTGATAGAGTGATTCAAGAGGAAGGCTTATAATACCTATGTATATAACATGCAATATTCATAATATAGAAAAGAAACATCTACGGGAGGTGCTCAAACAGGAATTTTGAGATTTACGATAGAAATTTTTGTTTATTAATGGTTGCTATGGACACAAACAAATAGAAAATATTCAAATTGAAAAATAATAATAAATCTGAATCTTAACAAAGTCCCGCTGTCTGTCTGTATGCAAAACATTTCGAATTGTTCTTGGAGATATCAGGAATGTTTAAAGAGTGGCTTGAATCACGTTCGATTTATACCAAGTGCTATACCCAATCCACCACAAATAAATTGTTCACCTTGGTCGATTTAGTTCGCAAAAGCTACCCAAATTTATCTGTGAACTGAGGTACCTAGGTAGCTACACAAAAACCAAGATACACTTATATAATCTACATTTTCTTTTTTTTTAATTTTTTTGGTGAGCGAAATCTATAAATTTAGATGTTGGTTTATCCAAAGTTAATAGCCTCAAAAAATGACTGGACCGTTTTCAATAAAAGTTATTTCAATAGAATATTACTTCAAAATTGGAGGGTGTATACAGCATGATTCTTCAACTCATATAGACTGTAGATAGGTTAAGGGTAGCTCACACATGATTTTTTTAGCATACGAAAAAAGAAATTTTTTGTTGTCAATCTAAATGGTTGCAATTTGTTAGATATTATATTAATATTATAATCAGAATAATATAGTATATACATTTTGTACAAATATATTTATTAAAAATACAAATCTTTGGCCTGGAAAACGTCGGGCGGGACAGCTAGTTGTAATATAAGAGCTATTTTAATACATAGATGTGCACAACTAGATTATTAATTAATACATCGATCATGTACTGTCGATTATTATATCGATCCGCGGTGATGTTAAAAAATGTCTGATGGTATTAAACTATTTATAATTATTTACTAAAGAATTGTTTTTAAATCAATCGTCATTGAGATATTAATCAATTAATTTTATTGAGCTAAGGCAATTCCAGTGAATGTTATTTTCGAAATTGGGAGGCAATTTGAGTAACCTTTAGAGAAACAAATTTATGGGAGGCAATTAGTGTGCGCCCACGTAATGTAATAATATGTTAAAAACAAATAAATACATCAATACATGTTATTATTTATTATAATATTTACTCGAGTGCGTAACTAATTGCCTTAGTAATCAAAAGCAAAGTTACTTTTTGAATAAAATAAAAAAAATTATTCAGTTCATATAAAAAAAATATTTGAAGCTTTTTAAAAATTCTATATTTAGCTATGGGTATTTGAGTGAAATAATGAAATCTAATATTAATTATTGATTTTATAAAACTCTTAAAATTGTGATTATTTTATTGACATAGGTAGTGGTTTGTTAGCAAAATAATATTGAACTTTCCATAATTATGACTAAATTCAATGAGTTACCCCAGTAAGTTGCATAATCGAGAGAGCTTCTTACCTATATACTATTGTTTGAAATTTATCTATATACACTGCATGTATACTAACAAGCCGTGTTTAAGTTTAATTTATGAGCTATTTCAGTTAGTTCTAGATAATTTAGATATGTCATTAATTGAACATAAATAAATAAAACAATTTTTAAAATATTAAAATAGCATATAAGTTTTGATTGTTATTATAGTTTGAAATGTAAAAAAACGATATTAAATATGATTCATATAATCATGTGTGTAACATATCATGTGAATGCAGTTTTTCGGTACTTACCATAGTCAAGGTTGAGTATATTTTAGAAAGTATTATACGATTATACCTATTTGGCTATTGACATATTATGATAGGTTAGGCATTATAAAATATTTTGAATTTTTTAAGACAACTATTGTTGTATAATAATAGTAGTAAAGAATTTTTTGGTCAAAGAAAAATAATTTAGGATAAGTAAGTAGGTTACCTAACCATTACGGCTACCTTTACGAAAATTTAAAAATGTTACAATTTATTCTGATGAAATTTAATTTGTTATCTTAATATATTATATTATATTTCTTTTGTCCTTGTGTAAGTATTCAAACTCCTCCTAAATGGCTGCACCGATTATGATGAAATTTTTTGTGTGTGTTTGAGTGGTTCCCGGGATGCTTTAGATTAACAATTGAACCTGGTATAGGTCTAACCTGGTGAGGTGCTCAAACAGGGATTTTGAGATTTACGATGGAAATCTTTGCTTATAAATGGTTGCTATTGGTTATAAGAGAAATAATTAGTAGAAATTAGTATTTATTTTTATTGGTGGACATTGATTATTCGGGCAGATCAGATACAAGCATGCATCAAATTTAATTTTCTTATATTTCCTACCAAGGTGGCTGAGTTGCACTTATAGCAGGTCTTAACAATAATACTCATAATAATAAGACTTTTTTCAATTTCTATTAAATTACTAATTTATTATAAATCAATTAATATCATATTATTAATTACTAGCTGATCCCGCGCACTTCCCTTATCCCTTAAAAAATAACAAATCTAAAAAAATTATGATTGTTCAATTCTTTTTGGGTGTAACTCGTTGCAATAAGTGCAACTCATACACCCTGGTATGCAGTCCGACTACGGACAATGTTCGATGAAAGGTTATAAGTGCAACTCAGCCACCTTTATATAGGCAATGTGTGAAATTCGATTTGTCCGATAACCAATGGTAACTAATAAAATAATAAATACTAATTTCTACTATTTATTTCTCCAATAACCAATAGCAACCATTTAGGTATAAATAAAAATTTCAAACGTAGATCTCAAAATTCCTGTTTGAGCACATCCTCGGGTTAGACTTTATTTTAAATTTATGCCTATGGCACTCACAAAGAATGTGGTTTTCTATTGGTGAAAGAATTTTCGAAATCGGTTTATAGCATAGATTTATTAAGGAAAAAAAACTATGTAGAGCCTTTCGTTTCCCACCCAAAATATTTCTATAATATCAAAGTATATATATATTACCTAATATATTATTTAATATAATGTCTTCCGTACTGCCGTTTTGATATCATAACACAGTGGCTACTTATAGTCAGGGCTTGAATTTAAAATAAATATATCGTTTTTAAGTTTTCAGATATTTAAACGTATACAATTTTAAAGTTTATCGTTATTGTACTTTCAAACGTTATTTGATTTTTTCCTTTCATCGTTTGTATATTATTAAACGTTATTTATATTTACTGTTTAACGTTATATTTTTTTTTTTTATAAATTATATTGTTATTTTTGGTTTAGATAAATGAGTAGAATTTGTTGTCCAGGATAGGTTATTTTAAATCATCCTAGGATTTTTAGTAAGTAGTTATAACTGGCAAGTTAATGTTAGTGTAAGTATCAAATATTTCTTAATTATTATGGCACGAATGAAAGATGAAATAATAGATTTTCATTAAAAAAAGGAGGGCAAATGGATGTCGCTCTTTCCTCTTCTGTACAGTAGGTTATAAGTGGGTCACTGTAATGGATTATGTTAAATTTGAATTCAATGATATAATATCAATGTATAAGAAAAATGATTCTGATTCCGAACGAAGACGGTTAGTCAGTCTATGATATTACGAAGTACCTATATATGATGATATTATTGTGAATAAAGTAATTTATAATATATAACCTATTTAAGTGGAACCTTGTTTTAAACTTTTTACTCCTAGCTATAAAAATGTTATAAATATTTAACTACTAAATAATTTATAAATTTCCAATTTGATAATTATTCGAGTTTTAAATTCTTATAAAAAAATTGTGCCTATCCATTTTTAATATTTTTAAAATGCTATTGTAACAAGGAGCCTTGTATTACATTTTTACGCTTTTTGACCAAAAAAAAAAAATTTGATAGATATTTATAGAAAAAAAAACTAAAAAAATTGAATTTTGGAATTGTACGTAATAACCAGTTCAAAACTATTCAAAAAATTTCAAAATTTTATGGTGTATAGAAAATGAGATTATAAATATTCAGTGAAATTTTTATGAAAATTTAATAGAAGGCTCCTAATATATCGTTTCCAAGTCAGATGAAAAATATTAAAAATCCATATTCACAATTTTTTTAATAAGCATTTAAATATCAAATATTGACAAAATACGTAAAATTCACGAAAATGTGCAAATTATTTTGAGTTAGAAATTCATAAAAATTTTTCAATTTAAATCTAAAACAATTTGAAAATTGAAGTCGAAATTCCTCATAAGTTTGTCTACCTTTATCAAAAAAAAAATGTCTATAAGCAAATTAAATTAAGTTTTTATAGGCGTTTGAAGTTCATATATTTTTACAACATTGGATATTCACTCAATTTCTCGCATGTAGCGATTTTGTTATTTTTTGTAATTCGAAAAACGAACAACTGTAGATACATTTCATCGAAAGTTTATATTTTCGTTTTCTATACACCATAACATTTTGAAAATATTAAATATTTTGACTCTTTTTGAGCTGTTTACGGACACTGTAAGTTTTTTTATTTATAATTGTTAATGACATTTTATTTATTTTGCCAAAAAGTGTGAAAATTAATATTAGGCTCCTGATATATTGTTACAATAGCAGTTGAAAAATATTAAAAATACATAGGCACAATTTTTGTTATAAGCATTTAATTTCGAATTTTGACAGAATTTATCAAACTTTAATTTTAATAATTATTTTGTAGTTAAAAATGTACAAAATGTTCAACTTTTATATCCAAGGATTGAAAATTTAAAACAAGGTTCCACGTAAATAGGTTATATATAAATTACTTTATTCACAATAATATCATCATATATACTTATTAAGATTATCATCGATCAGAATCGTTTTTATTATACAATGACAATATATCATTGAATTAAAACTTAACACCATCCATTACAGTGATCCACTTGTAACCTACTTTGCAGCAGAGTGACACACACTTACCCATCTTTTTTTCAGTTTAAATTTCATTGATGACATTTTCAATTTTTATAGGTTTTAGCAATAAGTAATTTTTGGAGCGTTCCTTTGCAATCGTTTATCCAAAAAAGCTTTATTGTGTCTCGTTATCACGCTAAGAATCTTAAAAAAGAAGTCGGAATAAAGACATTTTTAATACCTACATACTTTCGAATATTAGCTATTAGCTATGTATCTATTTAACGTTTCATACGAGTGTTAATATTAATAAGCCACTGCTGCAGGTGCACAACAAATTTAATGAAATGATTATTTGCTGTTAACACATTAAAATATTAAATGCATATTAAACTTGTTTGCATTACCTGTACGTAAAGCATACATATATAATATGTATGTCTGTGTTTGTGTATGATTGAGATATTTAGATACTAAAGTGGTGAATAAGTACATACTATTATATACTTACCCACTAGTAACTAAAGATAGGTAGCATAGTTAAAGTAGGTATCGTTTACTTATACGAGTTATACGTATACATTGAGTATATATTTTTTTAATAAGAATCTTGAAAAAAATATGGTACATTCAGACCTAAGAGTATAGTTTATTAAAATCAATAATTCTAATCGTAGAACTTTCAATACAAAATGCTTCTGGAAATGTGATTTAAAATAAAAATGAAAACCATTAAATTACTTTCATGGAATAATTAAATAATATTAATGGTTATGTTAAATCTGTGAGTATTGAATCATTATGATACTATAACGAATAACGATTATAGGTTAAATAATACATACATAATACATATTATAAGACTTAACATTAATTATAATGTATTTATGTTAAATACTAAATAGTAAACAGACTCTCAAATGCTATTATTATAATTGTGTAATAAATTTATTGAAGGGTGAAATAATAAGAAAATACAATAATCTTAAATAATACAATCGTATAATTATTGATTTGTTAAGTATTTAAAGTTATTATATCTTAAATGCTATGTAGAGGAATTATATACACTTGTAATACTAGGAAATAATAGCTTATTACCTATTTGGCTATTTTAAATTTAAAAAGTTGTAAACGCTAGTTTTATTTAATATAGAACCTACTTACTTATGTTTGGCTAAAACTATTTTGAACTGTGCTTAATAATTACCAGCCGACAGATTTCCTTATCATATCAGAATGGTAAAAATTATATAAAATGCAAATTTGTTGAATATTGGAATAATTAAAATGTTTTATTTAGATTTGGATCTTGTTCATTAAATTGTTGTATTATCAATATATTTTAATTAGCCAACAGAAATAACTGTTTTTAACACGTTGTACCAAAGATATTATGTAGGTAAATAAATATTTTATCATTGTAATAATGAATAATTTAGTTCAATATCTTTTGGAAATAACTGTTTATAGTTATATTGGGATGTACTACTGTGGATAAGTTAAATGAACATGAAAGTTGAAAACAATAGTGGAAATTAATTTAGTAGGTAAAATTAAAAAATTATTCTGGTATGAATCTTGGTGTACGGAAAAATGAAAAAAAATTCCTCGTAAAAAATTGGCAAACTAGCTATCACGAAAAATGAAATAGATTTTTATATATCAGTATAGGAATATATTTTGATATTTTATTTTGACAACAAATTATACAAGGTGATCCATTTAAATATTTACAGTGATTATTTAGAAGTCTTAACTTGTTTGAAGTATGTTTACAATTTTTTATCATAATATTTTTTTTTACTTTTTTGAATGACATATTTTTGAATATTATACTTTCCGAAGCAGAATATTTTTTGGATAATATCAATACACAAATTCAGTTATAACTTATAAGTTATAAGTATTTTATGTTTTGATGAGCATAGTAGTGCAGCACAGATCTACTCTGAAAAATGCTGCTCCACTCATGTGAACTTTAAATACCTCCTGTTCATAACTATTATTAAATACTCGTTTGCAATTTTTAAATACATAATGCATCGTGTTACCTATTCTGAAAAATATTTGGTTTCAAAATATGCTATAAAAAATATGTTTTCATTTTAAAAAAGTAAAAAAAATAAGGATAAAAAATTGTAAAAAAAATGTTTTACAATCATAACAAATTATTTGAAAATTATATTTAAAAACAAGTTAACATTTTTTTAAATAATGAATATATTCACTTATGAATCACCGTGGAAAACTGTAATTTAATGTTAATAACTGCATTGCATTTTAATATTTTTTTTATGGTATATGAATAACTTGTAGATGCATAAAATGTATTGCACTAAAATTCATCTAAATATACTTAGCTCCATGAAATATTTTATGACAGTCAATTTTTAAATGCACCTCACTTTAAAATATATTCTATGAAATTATTAGTAAACACAGAGATTTAAAATTTCTATGAATTTAATTTAATCATATTGCAACATTATTTAATCTGTGCAATTTGTATTCCTTTATGTCGTAATAAATCAAAGCTACTCAATTAAAAAACCCTCCTACCAACTTCGGTCAATTTGTATAACCGGACATGTACAAACAGAATGACAGTTAAATAAACAGGACAAGTGTGACAATTGTTCAGTTGTGCAAAATAATATGTATCGTTGACCCAATGCGGTTTTTTAAACTATTTCAACTTCAGCTAAGTTCTAAGAACGGGTAAGTAGTATAATAAAGTTGTCATGAAATATTCTTTATAATAATTAAATTATTCTAATATAAATATATATATTTTATATTTGAATAATTTAATGGATATTTTCTTTATGGTAAATATTGCACAGATAAATTAATACAAACATCTTGTTTTAGTTATGTATTAAATTATATATGTATTATTATACATACATTTGTAGGTAGCTTAAATATACAAAAAAAAAAAATCGCATTCTAAACTTTATATAATAATTTTGTCATATAAATAATGTATAGAATATGTATGATTTTATTTAATTTACCAAAGCAATGTAAATATTTAAAAATTACAATTTATCCTTAATGAATGATTATAGGACACACCATTTGCACACTTTACGCTCTTCAGTCGGTTGGTGCCATTGCCATAATTGTAAATATGGAATCAGGTGACTTTTTAGAATAGATCACAACAATTTTGGTATGTCACACAGCCACTGGATATTTAAATACATTATTCTTCTCCCGAGTGCAGTTTTCTTGAATTCTATACTAAACAATTAAAAAAACTGTGGAAGTTACTAGTTAAGTTACGTCATTTAAAATGGTTTACATTTATTGCAATAAATTTAAAAACTACTATTAGAATAGAGCTAGTAATTTTTATTTTGAACAGTTTACTCAGAGGTTCATACAATATCTGATTTATTATTTTTAACTTAGTAAATTAAATAAAAGTGACCAACTTTACCACAAAAATACTTCGAGGTTAATAGAACTATACTACTGCAATACGTATACTTCATTTCCTTATTTAATTCACATTCAAGGGGTTAGGCGAATATGATAATCAATAAATATTTTGAGATTCGTTATGTGATGTTCATTGTGTTTTAAGTCATCATGATCGTTGTTACAGCCATCTAATGATTTGGACGTCTGCGTTGTGGTTTATGATTGCTGTTTTGGCGTATTCAAAGTCTGTCAGTGGTTAGTATCTAATTACAATCATTAAAATATTTATACTAAATACTATTATTATTTAGAATATTAGATAATTCGAAGTTTTATTCTTGATATTTTATAACAAATTTATTTATGAACGATCGTTTTATTATAAACTTGCATATTAAAATGAATTTAAAATTTAAATAAATTAACATGAATTAAAACTCAAAAGTTTGCTTTGCATCTATATTCTATATACTTCTATACGTCGTAAGTAGATAGTTAGTCATGTATTTATTTTTAAGAGGAACGAATTATTCTTGTTATGATGATAGTATCTTTTTATTCAAGTCAATATTATTTTAATTTTCATTACTTACATTATTTTTAGATTTCTGACCTTTATTAGTATTTACTACCAACTTAGCTATTCTTCTTTACTTTAACTTTAGTTTTATTGGAACAATGCTGTAATTTGATTAGCACCAACTGCATCTGTATAGTAGATATAATACCTTCTCTGAAATAGGATATATAATAATATATTTTCTCTCATATAAGTTAATAAAACTATAACAGTGTGATATGCCCTTTAAAAATATATATTTAATATTTCCCTAAACGTTCGAAAGTACAACATTATGCTTAATATATTTCTGTATACCTAATATTATTAATATTATGTACCTATAATACATAGGCAATAGGTAATTAACTATATATATATATATATATAGCAATATATTCTTCCAATACATACGAGTGTCGAGTACATTTGGTCATCATATAGAGTACAAATGTTCTTGTGTTAAGGGTATCAGAGACGGTACAAAAGCATGTCTTACAGGAAAATCTCACACGCCCTATAAAATAATCGGATTACGTAAATTTTTTTTTATTTAAAAGAAGGAAACATTTCGCAGTTCGGATAAAAGCCCAATTTTAAAAAGGTGGGCAAGTGGGTGTCGCTCTGCTGTACTGTAGGTTACAAGTGGGTCATTGTATAATGGATGGTATTAAATTTGAATTCAATGATATAATATCATTGTATAAGAAAAACGATTCTGAGCGGAGACGGTATGTCCTTTTAGGTATAAGACATATTATATACATATCTATGGTATTAAAAAAAATTGACCTATAATGAATTCCAAATTAATCATATCACAATATCCATTAGGTACTTATAACGCGTTATACACCAACAACAAACCCTAATACTATCATAGATATATATAGTAGATTACTTTAGAAATTTCAAGTACCCACGAATAATATTATACAATCACAACAAAATAACTAAAATCGTAATTCTTGGTTTAAATATGAAATTTTGTCTAAATTTGAAATTAAAATGTCTGTAAAAAATAAGTGTGTTTATATATTTTTTAGATTTTTTGGTTACAGTATGAATTATTTAAGAGAATCTTTGTTTTAAATTTTCAACTCTTAGTTATAAAAACTGAACATTTTATAATTTTTTAATTCCAACGATTGATAATTTTTGAGATTTTGATAAATTTTGTCAAAATTCCAACTTTAAATGCTTATAAAAAAAAATCGTGCCTATGTATTTTTAATATTTTTCAACTGATATTGTAACAATATATCAGGAGCCTTGTATTAAATTTTTACACTTTTTGGCCCAACAGATAAAACTTTATTGATATTTATAGAAAAAAAAACTAAAAAAAATTGAAAGCTGTAAATGTCCATAAACAGCTCAAAAAGAGTCAAAATATTTTCAAAATTGTATGGTGTATAGGAAATGCTAATATAAACATTCAGTGAAATTTTCATGTATCTACAGTTATTCGTTTTTGAATTACAACAAAATAAGGAAATCGCTACATGAGAAATCGAGTGAAAATCCAATGTTGTAAAAATTTGAATTTCAAACGCTCATAAAAATTTAATTTGACTGTCCGGTAGAGATTTTTTTATTTATAAAGGTAGATAATCTTATAAGGAATCTTGTGTTTCATTTTCAAATCTTAGATTTAAAAAGAAAAATTTTTACGAATTCTTAACTCAAAATAATTTGCTAATTTTCGTGATTTTTCCATATTTTGTCAATTTTTGAACTTTAAATGCTTATAAAAAAAATTGTGACTAAGGATTTTTAATATTTTTCATCTGCCTTTGAAACAACATATTAGGAGCCTTCTATTAAATTTTCAAGCTTTCGCAACCAACAAATAAAATTTTATTGATATTTCTAGAAAAAAAACTAAAAAAAAATGAAAAATGAAAATGTCCCTAAACAGTTCAAAATAAATCAAAATATTTTGAAAATGTTATCGTGTATAGAAAATGCAAATATAAACAACCAGTGAAAATTTCATGTATCTACGGTCATTTGTTTTAAAGTTACACCAAAAACCAAATTCGATTTTTTGGAAAATCGATTTTGCGTAAAAATTCCCGTTTTTCCTTAATTTTTATGTTGTTTTTCCCGGCGCTTGTGAAAACTACTGGAAAATGTTTACTTTTGACCCCCCAAAGTACCAACTAGATTCACTTTCCTATCAGAAAAGGTACTATTGAAGAAAATCGAAGCACTTTTACTGTCCCAAAACGTGATGACAGACACAAAAATATAAATAAAAATATAAATAAAAATATAAAAACATACATCATTGTAAAACCAATACATTCATCGCTCCGCTCAGAATCTAAAATTATAATTATAGAAGCCCAATATTTGTTATTTTTTGAAAGTATTTTTCAAGCACTATTTAATCTATATGATTAAACTAATACAATAAATAAGCTTTTTGAAAAACTAATACAAAATTATATAAAGATATAAAGTAAAATTAACAATAATATGGATTAAAGTTAGTTAAGTCAGCTGTAATTTTAAAAGTTTATTTTTGAAGTTCTTAAAATCATTAGTCTTATTTTTTTTTTATAAAATAAGACGTTGCAACTTCTTAGTTTATTTTATATCTAAATCTCAAAAGATTATTCTAAGTTATACATTTACATTGTTTATAATAACACAATAGACATAATAATAATAGTATTTTAATTTATAATATAAAATATCTAAAGTACAGTTGAATGTAAAATTAACCGAATTAAAATTAATTTAATTTCTATTTCGCAACAATTATTTGTCAAATAATTATACATTTTTAAATTTATTATTGTAACAGGTACCTAATCCGATTGTAAAAAATAAAATAGTCAAATGTCGCTTGTTACGAGTTGGTAGTTGGTGTGGTGCGGTGGTTGCATTCAGTCACAAAACTTATTTGAGTGTCACTATAGTTCCCGAGTCTTAATGACAAATTCTTGTCACACACATGCAATTACATGTTCCAACCCAAAAACCTTAACCCCCCCACTAAACACCTAATAGCTACCAGGCTAAAAGATCAAAAAAAAAGTCATAATAATTGTTGGGATTTATTGTATATTTACTATCTGTATTAGTGGTGCCCAATTGGTGGTCTATGGACTCCCTGATGTTAGGGGGTCCGCGGTTGTGTAGTACCGAAGTGATTTTTCATTTTTATTTTAGTGGAATTATTAAATTCGTAGTTGTTTAAATATTCCGGGTATTTTTGGACTATTGAAACTCGATTTACCTCGAAAAAGGTAGGTAGATAATTAATTTATTAAAATTCAAAAGTAAATATTTACAAAAGGGGGTTCTCTGGACCAATTTAAGTTTTTGCTATAGGGGTCCTTAGTTCCATACTAATTGGGAACCATTGATCTGTATGACTGCAAGAGTGTGCGGACTGAGTTACTTCGATAATATGTCGATATATAATACTAGATATTATAAATTATATTATATTATATTATATTATATTATATAGACATATAGTATTATAAATTATAATATTATATAATATGGTTAGATTATAACTATAAATACCTATTATATAAACTGAATTATAGTTAAAAACAAAAAGTTTTTATTTTTTGGTGGTTATAGTAATGTTGATTCATTATTCCTATGTCAAAAATTGTGAAAACTGAAAAGACTATTTATCTACTTGATATTCTTTACAGGTTACTTAATTACTTCATAACTGTTTAAGACGTTTAAGTTAATTTTTTTATTTACTCTGTAAAATGCCTGACATTATATGTGAACGATTGAAATAAAAAAAAGAATTAAAACCAATTTTAAACAAAATTGATTCTTTGTTTAGGTTTAACTAAAAAAAATAACTGTATACCAACATGAAATACTCACCCAATGTTTAGATTTGAATTTTCTATACACTTTACAATTTTCAAAATATTTTGACTCTTTTTGAGCTATTTATAGGTTATAAGAACATTTTGAATTAATTAGTTTTTTTAATTATTGACAGTAAAATAATTTCGATTGGTCAAAAAATTGGACATTGAATAGAAAGTTCCTCATAAGTTGTTGTTAGTGGAAATTTAAACAAATACTTATTTTTTCAAAAGAATGTGGAAATTTATATTTCTTTATATCTATTTTTTTATAAGTGTCTCAAGTTAGAATTTGACAAATTTTTTTTTTTTGGTAAATGTATCGTAGGTGCTGTAAAAGTACAATAAATTGTTAATATTTTCATTTTCACATGAGCAACTATAAAAAATATAAAGAATAGGTAGCTACATTAAGCTATATAAATATGTACATAAATACTACATACTAATATAATGTACCAATATCTTGGTAACAATAATTTTGAGTTGGCAATTTGATAGTTCTAAAATATGTTTAAAATAGAATATAGATACATCAATGATTATTATACTCAATATTGGAGTATAATATTATAATATGTATAATGTATATTATATACTCTCCAATACACGACCAGTACGCCTATATAACAGTATATAGCTTAATATTATATATTTCTTTTATAATATTGAATTAAAATTTTAGAAATTGATTCGGATGACTGGCCATATGTTATTAAAGATCACGTGGGTATTAAACTTCAGTCACCAGTGGATATAAATACAAAATACGCAAACAGGCGATATTTGCCATTTTTACGGTATTTTGGTTATTGGGCATTTAACAGGGCAATAGTGGAAATTACTAATACTGGACACACAGGTATAAGAATTAAAATACTTATTGCACTTGCATTGATATATTATAATAATATTTGGTCTAATAGTTGGTGTTAAACTTGCCAATAATTCCGATGATGTGCCATTTATCACCGGGGGGCCATTATTCGACTGTAGATATGAGTTCGAACAGATGCATTTCCATTGGGGAAAAAATGATATGGGAAGTGAACACAAAGTCAACGGACACAAGTAAGTATGAAATAGAAATAAAAATGTAAAAGTTGACAATTTTTAAAAATGCTCTGTATAAAATAAAAAAAATTATTTCGGACTTCTAGGGGTGTTGCTTTTAAACATTTATTTTATATTTTAAAAGGTTAAATATCTATGATGATCACGGCATATATCATATCTCATATGAATTCATTTAGGTGTCTAGTAATATTAATATTTTTTACGGAATATCCATACGACTCAATACATTTTAAAACAGAAATATTATGTTCTAAAACTGATATACATGTATAGTGCAGTATCGTAAATCGTAGGTAATATTATACAAAACATAATGATTTGTTTTTATAATGATAAATAATAGGTAGTTGTTAGTAGTTAAGTTTACTTATTTAACTAAATTAGAAGTGTGATTTAGGTATATGTATCGAAATACTGAGGAAAATATTCTGCTCCAGAATATTAAATTGAAAATGTATGTTTTAAATCAAAAACCTAAAACATTTTCAAAATAATATACAACAATAAAAATTTAAAAAATACATAAATGTTTTAAAAATGTTGTTTTTTAACAACATACAGTTATGTAAAAGAATATTCTAGAACAAGTTAAAACTTATCGAAATAATGAGAGTATACATTTAAATGGGTCAACTCCATACATATAATAATTATGTACATAGGTATATTGTCTTTTAAATTGAACTATTGATTTTTTTCAAATGTATTTTGAAAGTTACAAAAAACTTAAGCTTTTTCCACCTGGGAATAATATTCAATGTAGTTTTTACTTTTTAGTATTACAATGATCCGAAATAATCACAAAAAATATTGTTTCAAATTACTCCTTAACTAGAAAAATTACATTAGAAAAATATTAAATCTTACAAGCCAAGTTATTCAGTATTCTATTGATATGGATACTCAATAAATTAATCATTTTAATTTAAAGGCATGTATTATAGCTTGAACAAATTCTAATCATACTTCATATGATTCTTCCAATAACATTATAGATTTAAGTAGATTTAATTAAGTTATGTGTCCGTGTAAAAGAAAATGTTAATAGATTGTTTTTTGCTTTAGATATGCTATGGAAGTTCATATTGTACATTATAAAAAAGAGTACGGAAGTTTCAAAAACGCTCAAAGTTACAGTGATGGCGTTTGTGTCGTCGGATTTTTTGGAGAAGTAATTAATTTTAAATAAATATTTCATTGATCAGGAAGATCCTAAATATATGTTAGTTCCATAGGCGTGTGTTGACATTTTCGTGGGGAGGGGGGTGCCTACATTATTTTTGGGGCCTCTCTAAACAAGACATGTACATATTAATTACTCGAACCAAGTTATATATAGGTATATTACCTTGGTTCTTATATCTATTTCTAAGATAATTTCAATTTTTATTTATTATTTGTACTTTTGTAGTCAATAACATAATATATTATAATACATGTTATAATCATAATAAGTTACTCCACACAAATTAAAAATATTTTATGTTTTATTATTTTTTATATTACAAAACATTATTTATTTTTTACTACATATTTTAGAAAAAATTACATTCTATTCTAGTAACATCAGTTGAAATACAGGCCCTCTATGCTCTGGGACTTATACATTTTAGGGCCACAACTACAAAATATAGGTGGATGTCCAGACTTACCTGGCGCCCACGTGCGCACGCCTATGGTTAGTTATAGTTTTAAAATTGTAACATATATTATAATATAATGTAATATTATTGGGTTAGTTTATAACATATATTTATTTTAGATTCTGAGCGGAGCGGTGAATGTAATGATGAATGTTTTTTTTTTTTGTGTCTGTTATTAGTGTTATTGCCTTTTGGGACAGTAAAAACGCTTTGATTTTTTTCAACAGCATCTTATCTGCTAGGAATATAAATTTAGTTGGTACTTTGGGGGTGGGGGGAGGTCAAAAGTAAAAAAATTTTAATAGTTTTCAAAAACATAGGGAAAAAAAATATAAAATTAAGAAAAACTGGAATTTTTATGCAAAATCAGTTTTTGACCAAATCGATTTTGGTTTTTAGTGTAAAACAAATGACCGTATACATGAAATTTTGACTGAATATTTATATTAGGATTTTATATATACCATAACATATTCACATAGTATTTTAACTTGTTTTGAGCTGTTTACAGATATTTTCAGTTTCCAATTATTTTAGTTTTTTTTTTCAATAAATGTCAATAAAATTGTATTCGTTGGGTCAAAAAGCTTGAAAATGTAATACAAGGCTCCTATTATATTGTCACAATGGCAGTTGAAAAATATTAATAATATCTATTCACAATTTTTTTTATAATTATATAAAGTTCAGATTTTGACAAAATACGTAAAAATCATGAAAATTTGCAAATTATTCTGAGTTAGAAATTCATATTTTTCTTTTAAATCTAAGATTTGAAAGTTTGATACAAGATTACTCATAAGTTTGTCTACTTTTATCAAAATAAAAATTGGTCTAATGAAAGTCAAATTAAATTTGCAGAGCGTTACCTATACTTACCAGCTTTTTAATTTACTTTAAACAATACCTATACAACTCTAGAAAGTTCAGTACTACATTTTTAGTTTTTTGTTTTATATACATATATATAGATATCGTCAAAAGACAATCGAGATATGGATAATTTTATTGCAGATTTAAAATACATAGTCAAACAAAAATCGACGATAGTTAGAAATTTTAAAGAAGAGTTCTCTTGGATAAAGAAAACAGCTTTAAAACAACATTACTACACTTACCACGGATCTCTAACAACGAAACCGTTCACAGAATGTGTAATCTGGATAATTTTTACCAAACCCATTCATATATCTAGGAGACAGGTAAGATTGATATAATTATTTTAATAAATCAATAACAATATTACTTTTTTGAATATTTGTTCAATTTTAATAGTTAATGAAATTCAGAGAGTTACATTCAAGTCATAACGGAGTTTTAATAAACGAAAACGATAGACCTCTTCAACCGTTTAATAATAGAACAATTGTTTATGGATACTAAAATTGTAAAACATTATTTAATTTAACATCATCATTATAAGTACTAGACACTTGGTAACTATTTATTACTTAGTATTATCAATAATATTTCTATCAAAGTTATTGTTAAAGTGCATTATTTGAGCTTTGGATTATGAATTATGAGATATTATCAAAATTGAAATAAATTATTGTTCGTGTGTATTAATATGTTTTGTTATATTTGTTGGGACATTATAATAACTCTTAAGTCTTAATATTTTAAGTTTCTTATATTGAGTAATAATTAATTAACTAAACAATGTTATATTTAATAAAGGGTAAAATAGTATAGTATTAATATACGGCGTGATATATTAAGGTAAGAATAAGTCTCAAGTGTATGTACTGCTTCGTCTTACAAACGTACAAAATATAAATTTAATTAGAGTTAATTGAATTATATTAAACGTAAACGTAAGAACATTATCTAATTTTTTTCTACCGGATTTTTACGGAATTTAAATTTTTAAGCGAGTTATGAGTAGGAGGTACTTGCGTAAAATACTACAATTCAAAATGTTAACCTAACCTTACTAAAACTTACATTACCGGAGAAAAGAAGACCTGTTGATCATCAAAACCAGCAGCAGCGTCAGTCATCTGTCGAACTCCTCTACGTTCAACGTAATTACGGTGACCCGGCGATCGACGACCAAACGTTCTCGGTGAATGTTCAAGTCTTATCCGAGAATACGACACTGGTTACTGCGGTAATCTGACACCTTGTCCGAGGCCAGGACACCTTTGATTCCAAAGTCTTAGGAAACTGTGGAGAGAAACATGTACTAGGCGCCAATGAGACCGTATCGGCCATTTTCCGAGCAATTAAAAAAAATCAATTACGACCGGTACTCGAAAATAGCTCTTTTCGGGGTTATCAGTTTATCACCGACCTCACACTCCGGCTCCCTGCCCGGGTGTGCCATCTAAACTCTAGATTAATAACCCACCACTTATTCGAGAGGACAGTTCTATGTAGTCCAGCACTTACCATATGGCATATTGTATGATAGGACACCAATTCCACAATTAACAAATAGGTAACCACTATATCGGGCCGGTGACTTTTATAGGAGGACCACTGACCAGGCCGATCTTCCCTCAAATATCGTATATATTAGAACATTTTAGAACATTAATAAAATTAAGTTAGGTGATTAGTACTGATTAGTGATTACCATTAAAACAAGACTCAAGTTTTTATTCAACGAGGTGACTCACCGACATCCGATGGCCGTTTCAATATTATAAAATATTTCATTATTCTTCAAAAAATAATAAATAGATACAACTGAATAAAAAATTACACGAATATATTTTTTAAAAAAGTACTTCACTGGTAAAATTGTAAAATATAGTTAGTAAAATAAAATCAAAGAATATTTACACATATTAAAAACATGTGTAAAATTCATTTTTTATGTTATTATAATTTATATAGTTATCAATTATGATTATCCATCGACCAATACAACCATACTACTTAACTCAAATATTTGGGCATTTAGTATATTTTACAGCTAATAAATTAATTTAGCATATGCACATTAGTTATTTATTACAAAAAAAAACAAAGTAGGTAGTTCACAGTAGTTGTTTAAATAATTGTTCTATATTTAAGTTATAAACAATTATTGCCAACCTGCAAGTATTTTATTCACAGTTATATTATAATTAAAACCATTTTATAATCCGAACTTTTTAGATATTTGTATTGAACTTATTTTAAAAATTTCGTTGAAATTTAATTTTTAGACTTTTAATGGTCCCCGTAGCAGTGTAACTTATAGTAGGTACTGCTGGAAAAATGTTGAAAGTATCATTATTATTATTATTTGTATCGACTTTAATTTCTTATGGATCAAGTAAATTATAAATAATAACAGCTAAAATATTACATTTTTATTACGTCTGATATTTAATAAAATGTTATCAAAAAATCAGGTATGGAAGAATCTGGCTATGAACCTGAGAAATGGCCGTATGTCGCACAAACATTTAAAGCTGGTGAGGTACAATCACCAATTAACATACTTCCGCTTAATGCTTATAACGCAAGTTTATCAAGTTTGTTATACTTTCGATATTGGCGTGAAGATAGCGTGGAAATTAAAATAGGACACAACGGACGAGCACGTAAATCAGTTCATTTCTTTTTACAAAAATCATGTGTAAAAATAAGCTTAAAACTTCTGAAATTATTCTTAAAATGTTTTTATTTGACATAAACAATCTATACAAATTAGCACAATAAGTTCAGATGATGAGAGTACTATATGAAATTATTACTTATTTTTTCAGTTCATATTCGTAGTATGACGTATGAAGATATAAATCATATTAGTGCTCACATTACTGGTGGACCATTATTCGAAAAAAAATATACATTTTCTCACATGCATATATATTGGGGTGCCAAAGGAGAAGAAGGAAGTGAACACCAAATCAATTCCCAGGGGTAAATTGTATTTCATAATCTTTGTATACAGCTACCTATACCTAATTCGTTAAAAGCGAGTTACCATTATTGTATCTATTTATTTTTAATTTCGAGATACATATTTTATAAGAGATATGGTAGTGAACCAGATTCGATTAATCAATAGCGTGTAAACTTTAGAATAGCTACACTTTAAGCCATGGGTGACTCCAGAGACATGGTTGGGGGGAAAACTTTCAATATTATATTATGATTTTTTTTTGTAATTTTGTTTTGAATTGTATACAATTCTTTAGAAATACAGCTTAGCAGGGGGCCGCAGTCCTTAGACACCCCCCCCCCCCTGAAGCCACCCATACTTGACAAACTATTAATAATTTTTTAAGAAAATTATTGTGGCTGTATAATTAAATTAACATTTTATTGGTATAGTTGGTTACATGAGTAATGAGTATGTTCAACATTTGTCTCTGTTAGAGCTTTTTTTGTACAAAGGTGAAATGTATATTGTTAATATTATTGTATAGATAATATTTTTAATAAATAGTTACATTATTTGCTATAGTTAAGTTATAAACTTATAATTTATTAATCTTGTTATGATATATTCATAAAAAGTTGCATACTAAGTTGATTAATTGAATGCTTGTAGTAGTACACTAAATTTGAATTGACTAATCACGGGTGACTAAATACTTGATTTATAAGGGATAGTTAGTTCATTATTGATTAATTTAATGTTAAGTTATTGCTTATGCAACCTGACTTAATATTTTAGAATCGAAAACTGCCTACAAAAAATACAGTGTTCGTTATTTTAATATATCATTCAATTTGAATTTTCATAAAATTAATCACTATATCATTAATTTTTAGTTATCCAATAGAAGTTCAAATGATACATTTTAAAAATGAATATATCCATTACGGAAATGCTATATTCTTTACTGATGGTATTTGCATTATTTCATATTTTGGAAAAGTAAGTAAAAAAAGTCGCTCTGCTGTACCTACAGTAGGTTACAAGTGGGGGACTGTAATGGATATTGTATTGTGTACGAAAGACGATTCTGAAAGGAGATGGTTTGTCAGCCTAGGATTTAATATATTACATAAATATTGTTACTATTAATACAATAGTTGAATTATTATTATTTGTTTATTATCATATTTGTATATGATAATATACTTTAGAAGTTTCAAGTAGTTTCAAGTTTTTAAATATAACACAAAACTAAAATCGTTGTTCTTTGTTTAAATATCAAAGTTCGTCCAAATTTGAACATAAAATAACTATAAAAAATACTGTTTTTATATTTTTTGGTTGCTGAATAACTTATTTACGCGTAACTTAAGTTGAACATTTTATACATTTTGTTAAAAATCGAACTTTAAATGCTTATGAAAAAAATCATGCCTATATAATATTTTATTGACCTAATACATTACTAATACATTTAAATGACATTTATAGAAAAAAAACTATAAAATTGTAATATGAAAATGTTCGTAAACAGCTCAAAACGGGACAAAATATTTTGAAAATTTTATCAATTTTTTTTATCAAATTTTATCAATTTTATTTTGATAAAATAAACAAATGGTATAAATTTCAAGTATCTTTTTTTTTTTCTTGTGGCATCTACGACGTTTTCGGGAATTCTTGCGAAATTACTTCAACAACGCGCCAACACCGCCAACTATTATTAATTAATTAATAACATACAAATATATTATACAGAACTCTGAGAAAGCCGGAGACTATACTTCCTGTAGCAATCGCTAGTGTGTCACTATGTGTAGGCTCCGGGCGATTTAGTTTCTATTTTTGTTGGTAAAAGCTTTTGCTGGGGGCATAGGCAGAAATCCATTAAAATGTCTGGGGGGCTAACATTATTAACATTAATGTGAACGAGGGGCTTCTATCCTACAAAACTAAAAAAGTAGGTTGCTTGACGGAGTTTTTTTTGGGGGGAGGGCTATCCTCCTCAAGCCCCCCAGATTTCCACTAATAGCTGGGGGCTCATTTCGCGGACCGGATCTTTCCGTAAATTTAAATAGTAGGTAACTACATTTTTTCGTTTTTAAATAACAATAAAATAATAAAATAACTACATGAGAAATCGCATGAATATCTAATGTTGTAAAAATGTTTTGTTGTTTTTCCTTAATTTTTATTTTGTTTTTCCCTGCCCTTTTGAAAAATATTTGGAATTTTTAAATTTTGACTTGCTGCATGAATGTACCAACTAGATTCACTTTTCCATCGAGCAACTACTGAAGTTGAAAATCGAAGCATTGTCTACTACTTATCGTGTACACAGGCACAACAAATAAAATATTCTTTTATGTTGAAGAATCGTATAAATTCCTTTTAAGTGAAAGATTTAGTTTTTAAAATTTAAAGTGAGGTTTAAATTTTTATGCAGGCATATTTATGTGGAGAAATCGAATCATGTACAACTTAGTCCTTTTTGTTGTTTGACATTGTACATTAGTAATGGAGAGAACTGAGAATACAAAATATTTAACATTTACCTCCTCCCCCTCTATTTAAATAACCTGGTCCCCTAGGCCGAACTTAAAGTAAAATTATATTGTTTTGAATAAGAATTTGAGAATATAATATAATTATAAATGCTAATATTTAGAATTGTGTTAATATTTATAGTTATCAGATCAAGATAATCCAAAAATGAATAATTTCATTAAAGCTGTGGAATCAGTTCAATTTCCCGATTATAGTTTTATTGCAACATTTGATGTTCATTTTCATTGGTTGATGGAAGTAGCTAAAGATTATTGCTACTATTCATATCCAGGATCGATAACTGTATATCCACATACTCAATGTGTTACATGGATTATATATGAAAATACTTTCGAGATTAGTGAAAGACAAGTAAGTTAATAGGATATATTGTATATAGATTCATTAGTAGCAGTGGCCTATCTACGGGGGTCATATGGGGGTCCAGACACCAAATTTTGTACACAATATAACATGTATATCATAATATATGAATATAATATGTGTATAACGTACCTATACTGAATGTCTATTAAAAATTGTTTATCCCCCTTGAAAAAATCATAGATACGCTACTGATTAGTTGGTAGGTATATTATTGTGTATAGCAGTTGGTATAACTAATTTTGTTTAATACGTATTTTATATAGTTGGCAGTTTTTCGAACTTTAAATGGAATCTATGGTGATTTTTTAACAAGTATAAGCCGTAGAGAATTACAAGAATTTAATAGTCGGCCACTTTGTTATGTCTAATTAAAATATTATTAATTCTACGTAGGTTATTTAAAATTTAATTATATAGTGCCTTATGTACCATTGAAAAGGTATATTATTATGATTGAGATGAAGTGATTAAATCAATCAATATTTTATTACCCATATAGTATATTAGGAATTAGCTTACCCTGTATAATATATAATATGTACCTATATTGTACCTATCTATGTTTAAGATTATATAAAAATATTCGTATATAGACAAGAAATTGCTGTATTATTCGATACTATTTATGATATATTAATAAATTATATTATTCATTTTAAACAAAAACAATAATTTTTGTACCTACTTTTAAGGTTTTGAACGAACACATAATTCTAACATAGCTTACTAATAACTCGTAAGTTTTTGTTAAATTAACATTTCTGTGAGTTTTTATTTATTTTTTGATAGAAATAGTGATATGACGTTTTATGAACCATATTAAAATATCTATGTTGGAGTTCAGATATGGATTTTAAGATGTAATTTTTTGATTTTCTCAACAGTTTTCCCTTTTTTGTCCCATTTTTGCGTAGGTACGTTTAAGAAAAAAATGCAAATAACAACCGTAAATAATTATTACTGAAGATGCAATGTCTGAATGTATGAACATTATGATGAGCTTTTATTATTATTAATGATAATATTATATTGGGCATCACCTACTGATTAGTCATTAGTCATTATTCAATATGGTTTTACATCCCAAACGAACATAATAATTTTTCAAGGAAATTATTTTGCAAGAATTCATATTCAATGGTGTTATCAAAATATTAAACACGGACATTAGACTATTATAGGTAGAGTAAAATTAAATCAATGAATATATGGATTACAAAATGCATATACGTAATCGATTGTTCAAAGTAGCATGCTAATATGGTATACTTTTATGTCACTGTGTTTATACTCTATACTACCTACCTACTATAAATACGTTTCTACAGCTAATAGTTATATATATATATGTCAGTAAAGAGCACCTAATTATCGTGTTTTCGATTATGGAATAGATAAGTATTGATATCAATGTGCAGTACCACTGTACTAGCCGAAAAAAAACCTAGATACCTATTCTAATGTGTTTTTAATTGTAGTATACTAATATATGATAGTAAACCGGCAGTTAATTAATACCGAGTAAACAATAGCCTATTATCCAAAATCCAAATGCATAGCTGTACTTTTTATGTAGGTGTTTAAATTGGACAAAGTTTGTAATTATAATTTGCGAATACGAATTTACACAGTTGTGGTGTTCCACGAGTAAAACAACGAGTGAAAACATCAAACTAACAATGTAATTAACATTTTTTTTTTATTACTCACTGGTTATAACTATATTGGTGCTACATATTAAATATAGGTACCTAGTCGTATAGTGCAGTAGTTCACCAACGGATGTTCCGGTTTGGACAACCGAAAGAACATTATTTTAATTCTAGTATTTACTATTTAAACACTTTTTCTTTTGTATTCTAAGTAAACTTTTAAAACATTTCAGCTCAAATATGTATTTTAAATGAACGAGTGTAAGATCCCATAATCCTATACAAGATAATTCAGGTAAAAGACAAATATACGTCTATACTCTATACGCATATGCATTGATGCGTATCCTGTATATATTGTATAGTGTTTTTTATCCTATAACTAGACAGTCGCATACCCACGCATTTGTTGGGTTCAATATTCAAAAATTATACTTTTAGTTTCTAACGTTA